TGATTTTCCTTAGTCTATCAGATATAGACAAAAATACAAGTCACAGCTTCGTGTCATCCTTTGCAGATGACACAAAAATCAGCATGAAAATTACCTCTGCAGAAGACATTGAAAAACTACAAGCAGATATCAACAAAGTTTTCGATTGGGCAGCAGAAAATAACATGATGTTTAACAGTGATAAATTCCAGGTACTCAGGTACGGTAAAAATGAAGATCTGAAACATAATACAGGGTACAAAACGCAATCGAATCTGCCCATAGTAGGAAAACAGCATGTAAAGGTTTTGGGAATAATGATGTCCGACGACCTAACGTTTAGGGAGCATAACCAAGCAAATATTGCGTCAGCCTGAAAAATGATAGGATGGATTACGAGAACCTTCAAGTCCAGAGATCCCATCACAATGGTTGTACTTTTCAAGTCACTTGTGTTGTCCCGTCTTGAGTACTGCTCAGTACTCACTTCCCCCTTCAGAGCAGAAGAGATTGCTGAAATAGAGGGAATACAGAGAACATATACGGCATGCTGATAAAGCACCTAAATTATTGGGATCGTCTCAAAGCTCTCCAAATGTACTCACTAGAAAGGAGACGAGAGAGATACCAAATAATATACACATGGAAAATACTGGAGGGCCAAGTCCCAAATCTACACAGTAAAATAACAACGTACTGGAGTGAACGATATGGAAGAAAATGCAGAATAGAACCAGTGAAGAGCAGAGGTGCCATAGGCACAATCAGAGAACACTGTATGAACATCAGAGGTCCGCGGTTGTTCAACGTCCTCCCAGCAAGCATTAGAAATATTGCCGAAACAACCGTGGACATTTTCAAGAGAAAACTGGACTGTTTTCTAAGAGAAGTTCCGGATCAGCCGGGCTGTGGTGGGTATGTGGGCCTGCGGGCCGCTCCAAGCAACAGCCTGGTGGACCAAACTCTCACAAGTCAAGTCTGGTCTCGGCCGGGCTTGGGGAGTAGAACAACTCCCAGAACCCCATCAACCAAGTATAAAGTTCAACTCAGGAAAGTTTTAGGTAATGAAATTAGGCGAAGGGAGCAGGAGGCTTAACACAAGGTACCATCTGGGAAGTGAAATCCTGCAAGAGTCAAATAGAGAGAGAGATCTGGGGGTTGATATCACACCGAACAAGTCCCCAGAGGCCCACATCAAAAGGATATCATCAGCGGCATATGCTAGGATGGCCAACATAAGAACGGCATTTAGAAACTTGTGCAAGGAATCATTCAGAACTTTGTATACCACATATGTCAGACCAATCCTGGAGTATGCAGCTCCAGCATGGAGTCCATATCTAGTCAAGCATAAGACTAAACTGGAGAAGGTTCAAAGGTTTGCCACCAGACTAGTACCCGAACTGAGAGGTATGAGCTACGAGGAGAGACTACGGGAGTTAAACCTCACGTCGCTGGAAGACAGAAGAGTTAGAGGGGACATGATCACCGCATACAATATTCTCAAAGGAATTTATAGGGTAGATAAGGATATGCTATTTAACACAAAGGGCACACGCACAAGGGGACACAGGTGGAAATTGAGTGCCCAAATGAGCCACAGAGATATTAGAAAGAACTTTTTTAGTGGCAGAGTGGAATGCATAAGACAAATGGAATGCATAAGTAAGTGATGTGGTGGAGGCTGACTCCATACACAGTTTCAAGTGTAGATATGACAGAGCCCGATAGGCTCAGGAACCTGTACACCTGTTGATTCCCGCCAAACACACACCTAAACTACGACGTTGGTACAACGTTCGAACAAGTTTTAACACCGCCTAACCAGTTATAACAACCAATATAGCAAGTTGTAACAACGTTCTAATACGTCGTAAACACGTTAAGCCAAGATGTAACAACTTTATTACAAGTTGTAACAAGCGGAAAATAGAGACAGTTACGGTTTGTGTTTCCAGGGTTGACGGTTGAGAGGCGGGACCAATGTCGTGCCGATCTTCAAGAAAGGTGATAGGGAGGAGGCACTTAACTATAGACCTGTAACACTGACAAGCATCCCCTGTAAAATACTGGAAAGAATAATTAGGCTACGACTGGTTGCACACCTGGAGAACATTAGGTTTGTGAACAAACATCAACATGGGTTCTGGACAGGGAAATCGTGCTTAACAAACCTTCTGGAATTCTGTGATAAAATAACGAGGATAAGGCAGGACAGAGATGGTTGGGCAGACTGCATATTTCTGGACTGCCAAAAAGCCTTTGATACAGTACCGCACATGAGACTGCTGTTCAAGCTCGAGAGGCAGGCGGGGGTGGGGGAGAAACGCCCTAGTATGGATAAGGAATTATCTAACAGGAAGGAGCCAGAGAGTTACGGTAAGGGGCGAGAAGTCGGACTGGCGAACAGTAACGAGTGGAGTACCTCAAGGATCGGTGCTGGGACCAATTCTATTCCTTATATACGTTAACGACATGTTTACAGGAGTAGAATCCTTCATGTCGATAATCGCGGATGACGCAAAGTTGATGAGAAGAGTTGTGACAGTTGAGGCAGACAGTTGATGACAGATAGCATTCCACCTGTTAACTTCTCTGACACTGAAAAAGTTCTTTCTAACGTCTCTGTGGCTCATGTGGGTACTCAGTTTCCACCTGTGTCCCCTTGTTCCCGACCCACCATTGTTGAATAGTTTATCCTTGTTTACCCGGTCGATTCCTCTGAGGATTTTGTAGGTTGTGATCATGTCTCCCCTTACTCTTCTGTCTTCCAGTGTCGTAAGGTGCATTTCCCGCAGCCTTTCCTCGTAACTCATGCCTCTTAGTTCTGGGACTAGTCTAGTGGCATACCTTTGTACCTTTTCCAGCTTCGTCTTGTGCTTGACAAGATACGGGCTCCATGCTGGGGCCGCGCGTGTGCGTGTGTGCGTGTGTGTGTGTGTGTGTGTGTGTGTGTGTGTGTGTGTGTGTGTGTGTGTGTGTGTGTGTGTGTGTGTGTGTGTGCGTGTGTGTGTGTGTAAGAAAAAATAAAGTAGTTAGTAACAGTTGATTGACATTTGAGAGGCGGGCCGAAAGAGCCAGAGCTCAACCCCCGCAACACAACTAGAAGAGTACACACACACCCAGGCTCCAGCCAGCAGCCTCGGGTGTGGTAATAGGGGGACATTAGGTAATTAGTGGCGAGGCTCGGACAGTTAGGAGACAACAACCACTGTCGGGTTAAGCGGAGTGCTCACGCCCACCGCTCATATCACCCTGTAATTGAGGTGAAATAGGACTTGAATTGAAGTGAAATTGGACTGGAACTGAAGCAGTATTAAGATGGGACCGAGAGGGAATACCTGGATGGAAATGAATAGAAGGAGAACCTTTGTAATCATGAAGGAGTCGAGAAGGACTTAAGCTGGTGTTGAGGACTTAAGATGGTGTTGAGGACTTAAGATGGTGTTGAGAAGGACTTAAGATGGTGTTGAGAAGGACTTAAGATGGTGTTGAGAAGGACTTAAGGTGGTGTTGAGAAGGACTTAAGGTGGTGTTGAGAAGGACTTAAGGTGGTGTTGAGAAGGACTTAAGATGGTGTTGAGAAGGACTTAAGGTGGTGTTGAGAAGGACTTAAGGTGGTGTTGAGAAGGACTTAAGATGGTGTTGAGAAGGACTTAAGATGGTGTTGAGAAGGACTTAAGACGGTGTTGAGAAGGACTTAAGACGGTGTTGAAAAGGACTTAAGATGGTGTTGAGAAGGACTTAAGACGGTGTTGAAAAGGACTTAAGACGGTGTTGAAAAGGACTTAAGACGGTGTTGAGAAGGACTTAAGACGGTGTTGAAAAGGACTTAAGACGGTGTTGAAAAGGACTTAAGACGGTGTTGAAAAGGACTTAAGACGGTGTTGAAAAGGACTTAAGACGGTGTTGAAAAGGACTTAAGACGGTGTTGAAAAGGACTTAGGATGGGACCATTCATGTTTGTTCGCAATTTCACGTAGCCCCACAAAGTGCTAACTAGGTGATTCGATGTAATAACTGCCCAAGTTGACCACTGAGCGCTGTCGGATCTTGGATTAAATAGTCTCACGTCTACCAAGATTTTTGTACAGTCAGTGTGGTCTAGTGGTTAAGGTACCAGCTACGCCAAGGTTCATTATTTTTTAATTTGAGTTAAAACTAACGTAGATATATGACCGAACCTAACCAACCCTACCTAACATAACCTAACCTAACCAACCCTACCTAACCTAACCAACCCTACCTAACCTAACCTATCTTAATCTAATCTAAACTAACATAACTATGTCGATAATTTATGTTCTGGATATAATAATAATATTTCATATAAGCCAATTGGAATATTTTTTTTTAATTAAAGAAAATCTCTCGGCCTATTAGGCAAATCGGGCCTTGCATAGTAGGCTAGAAGTGCGTTCTGGCTACTAGGTACAACATATATATATATATATATATATATATATATATATATATATATATATATATATATATATATATATATATATATAATTTCACATTATTATTCTAGTCTTCTTCTACTGTTTCACACTGTTGTATTCCTTAGTCATCTTAGCCCTAACTCATCGGCTGTAGAATACAAATATAACAGTTTTAATCTGTGTCTGTAAGGAAGGTTACTAAGTCCTGGTAATTACGTTGAGATCCTCCTCTCAACCCGTTCACGTACCTTAACGACCAATTCAAGACCACATCTGAACAAGACCAAGATAACACTAAACAAGACCAAGATAACACTAAACAAGACCAAGATAACACTAAACAAGACCAAGATAACACTAAACAAGACCAAGATAACACTAAACAAGACCAAGATAACACTAAACAACACAATTACAACCCATTATTGGAGCCACTTTTGTCCATAATCCCATTAACCCCATTTAATCCCCCCCCATTATCCAATGTTTACAATGATATATTTGGGGCGTTTAGGCTCCATAGTTAATGTGGTAGTTGTAAGGGGTTGACAGTACATGTTGTGGTTGTTGTTGTTGCAGGGGTGCACTTCAACACCACGGACGAGGCCATGATAGAGGAGATCACGACGGCCATGTCCGTGTTCGTGTGGGGGCTGGCCGGCCATGTTAAGGACGAGGCTAGTCGCGATGTCCTGCCGGACCTGTCCCCTTCCCTCTCCTGTGATACCGGCGACGCTAGGTGGAGAGGTGGAGAGAAGTTCTATAGGTAAGTCCTCGACCCTGGCTGGTCCCTGGCTCCTTGTCCTCACTCCTGGCTGGTCCCTGGCCCTTGTCCTCACTCCTAGCTGGCCCCTGGCTCCTTGTCCTCACCCCTAGCTGGTCCCTGGCCCCTTGTCCTCACCCCTGGCTGGTCCCTGGCTCCTTGTCCTCTCCTCTAGCTGGCCCCTGGTTCCTTGTCCTCACCCCTGGCTGGTCCCTGGCCCCTTGTCCTCACCCCTGGCTCCTTGTCCTCACCCCTGGCTGGTCCCTGGCCCCTTGTCCTCACCCCTGGCTGGTCCCTGGCCCCTTGTCCTCACCCCTGGCTCCTTGTCCTCACCCCTGGCTGGTCCCTGGCCCCTTGTCCTCACCCCTGGCTCCTTGTCCTCACCCCTGGCTGGTCCCTGGCCCCTTGTCCTCACCCCTGGCTCCTTGTCCTCACCCCTGGCTGGTCCCTGGCTCCTTGTCCTCACCCCTGGCTGGTCCCTGGTCCCTTGTCCGCACCCCTGGCTGGTCCCTGGCTCCTTGTCCTCACTCCTGGCTGGTCCCTGGTCCCTTGTCCGCACCCCTAGCTGGTCCCTGGCTCCTTGTCCTCTCCTCTAGCTGGCCCCTGGCTCCTTGTCCGCACCCCTGGCTCCTTGTCCTCACCCCTAGCTGGCCCCTGGCTCCTTGTCCTCACCCCTAGCTGGTCCCTGGCTCCTTGTCCTCACCTCTGGCTAGTCCCTGGCTCCTTGTCCTCACCCCTAGCTGGCCCCTGGCTCCTTGTCCTCACCCCTAGCAGGTCCCTGGCTCCTTGTCCTCACCCCTGGCTGGTCCCTGGTTTCTTGTCCGCACCCCTGGCTGGTCCCTGGCTCCTTGTCCTCACCCCTAGCTGGCCCCTGGCTCCTTGTCCTCACCCCTAGCTGGTCCCTGGCTCCTTGTCCTCACCCCTGGCTAGTCCCTGGCCCCTTGTCCTCACCCCTAGCAGGTCCCTGGCCCCTTGTCCTCACCCCTGGCTGGTCCCTGGCTCCTTGGCCTCACCCCTGGCTGGTCCCTGGCTCCTTGTCCTCACCCCTGGCTGGTCCCTGGCTCTTTGTCCTCACCCCTGGCTGGTCCCTGGCCTCTTGTCCTCACCCCTGGCTGGTCCCTGGCCCCTTGTCCTCACCCCTGGCTGGTCCCTGGCTCCTTGTCCTCACCCCTGGCTGGTCCCTGGCCCCTTGTCCTCACCCCTAGCAGGTCCTTGGCCCCTTGTCCTCACCCCTAGCTGGCCCCTGGCTCCTTGTCCTCACCCCTGGCTGATCCCTGGCTCCTTGTCCTCACCCCTGGCTGGTCCCTGGCCTCTTGTCCTCACCCCTGGCTGATCCCTGGCTCCTTGTCCTCACCCTTGGCTGGTCCCTGGCTCCTTGTCCTCACCCCTGGCTGATCCCTGGCTCCTTGTCCTCACCCCTGGCTGGTCTCTGGCCTCTTGTCCTCACCCCTGGCTGGTCCCTGGCCCCTTGTCCTCACCCCTAGTACCTCTCCCCCCTCACCTCTCCCCCCTCACCTCTCCCCCCCTCACCTCTCCCCCCTCACCTCTCCCCCTCACCTCTCCCCCCCTCACCTCTCCCCCTCACCTCTCCCCCCTCACCTCTCCCCCCTCACCTCTCCCCCCTCACCTCTCCCCCCTCACCTCTCCCCCCTCACCTCTCCCCCCTCACCTCTCCCCCTCCCCCCTCACCTCTCCCCCCTCACCTCTCCCCCCTCACCTCTCCCCCCTCACCTTCCAATTTCAATTACCTTCAAGATTCGAACTTGTGACGCAACTCATTAGTTCCTTGACGGCGCGTCTCTTGCACTGTCTCTCCCTCACACCTCCCTCACACCTCCCTCACACCTCCCTCACACCTCCCCTCACACCTCCTCCCTCACTGCCACTCCCTCGCTGTCCCTCCCTCACACCTCCCTCACTGGGGTCACAGGTAGACTCATCTCTCTCTCACATGTAGACTCACCTCTCTCTCACAGGTAGACTCATCTCTCTCACAGGTAGACTCATCCCTCTCGCAGGTAGACTCATCCCTCTCGCAGGTAGACTCATCCCTCTCTCACAGGTAGACTCCTCCCTCTCGCAGGTAGAAGATGGGCTCCAAGAACGAGTATGGCATCTAACTGTTAATTAACACAGTGGAAGAAACAGTTTAGTTCCTTAACATGTAATCACATTATGACTGAAATTACCAACCTTGTGAGATGTTAATATTATTACGTATGGCTGTTTAAATTGTTCAATATTTAGATGCTGTTTGCTCCAACCTGTTTAGTAACAGTGAGCAAATTGTCATTATTCTGACCAATGGTATACTGCCTCCTGACTCTTGGCCAGATTCACGAAGCAGTTACGCAAGCACTTACGAACGTGTACGTCTTTGTTCAATCTTTATCGGCTTTGGTTACATTTATTAAACTGTTTACAAGCATGAAAACTTGCCAATCAACTGTTGTTATTGTTATAAACAGCCTCCTGGTGCTTCGGAGCTCATTAACTGTTTAATAATTGTAAACAAAGCCGACAAAAGATTGAGAAAAGATGTACAGGTTCGTAAGTGCTTGCGTTAGTGCGTCGTGAATCTGGCCCCAGGAGTATACTAGCAGCTTTACGAGCACTACACTGAGGCAGTAACCACCAGCAACAGTACACTGAGGCAGTAACTACCACCAACAGTACACTGAGGCAGTAACTAGCAGCAGCAGTACACTGAGACAGTAACCACCAGCAACAGTACACTGAGGCAGTAACTACCACCAACAGTACACTGAGACAGTAACTACCACCAACAGTACACTGAGGCAGTAACTACCAGCAGCAGTACACTGAGGCAGTAACCACCAGCAACAGTACACTGAGGCAGTAACTACCACCAACAGTACACTGAGGCAGTAACTACCAGCAGCAGTACACTGAGGCAGTAACCACCAGCAACAGTACATTGAGGCAGTAACTACCACCAACAGTACACTGAGGCAGTAACTAGCAGCAGCAGTACACTGAGGCAGTAACTACCACCACCAGTACACTGAGGCAGTAACTACCACCACCAGTACACTGAGGCAGTAACTACCACCACCAGTACACTGAGGCAGTAACTACCACCACCAGTACACTGAGACAGTAACTACCACCACCAGTACACTGAGGCAGTAACTACCACCACCAGTACACTGAGGCAGTAACCACCAGCAACAGTACACTGAGGCAGTAACTAGCACCACCAGTACACTGAGGCAGTAACTAGCACCACCAGTACACTGAGGCAGTAACTACCACCAACAGTACACTGAGGCAGTAACTACCACCACCAGTACACTGAGACAGTAACTACCAGCAGCAGTACACTGAGGCAGTAACTAGCACCACCAGTACACTGAGGCAGTAACTAGCAGCAGCAGTACACTGAGGCAGTAACTACCACCAACAGTACACTGAGGCAGTAACTAGCAGCAGCAGTACACTGAGGCAGTAACTACCACCACCAGTACACTGAGACAGTAACCAGCAGCAGCAGTACACTGAGGCAGTAACTACCACCAACAGTACACTGAGGCAGTAACTAGCAGCAGCAGTACACTGAGGCAGTAACTACCACCAACAGTACACTGAGGCAGTACCTACCACCACCAGTACACTGAGACAGTAACTACCACCAGCAGTACACTGCGGCAGTAACTAGCACCACCAGTACACTGAGGCAGTACCTACCACCACCAGTACACTGAGACAGTAACTAGCAGCTGCAGTACACTGAGGCAGTAACTACTACCAACAGTACACTGAGGCAGTAACTACTACCAACAGTACACTGAGGCAGTAACTAGAAGCAGCAGTACACTGAGGCAGTAACTACCACCACCAGTACACTGAGACAGTAACTACCACCACCAGTACACTGAGGCAGTAACTAGCACCACCAGTACACTGAGACAGTAACTACCACCACCAGTACACTGAGGCAGTAACTAGCAGCAGCAGTACACTGAGACAGTAACTAGCAGCAGCAGTACACTGAGGCAGTAACTAGCACCACCAGTACACTGAGACAGTAACTACCACCACCAGTACACTGAGGCAGTAACTAGCACCACCAGTACACTGAGGCAGTAACTAGCACCACCAGTACACTGAGACAGTAACTACCACCACCAGTACACTGAGACAGTAACTAGCAGCAGCAGTACACTGAGGCAGTAACTAGCACCACCAGTACACTGAGACAGTAACTACCACCACCAGTACACTGAGGCAGTAACTAGCACCACCAGTACACTGAGGCAGTAACTAGCACCACCAGTACACTGAGACAGTAACTACCACCACCAGTACACTGAGGCAGTAACTAGCACCACCAGTACACTGAGGCAGTAACTACCACCAACAGTACACTGAGACAGTAACTACCACCACCAGTACACTGAGGCAGTAACTAGCACCACCAGTACACTGAGGCAGTAACTACCACCAACAGTACACTGAGACAGTAACTACCACCACCAGTACACTGAGGCAGTAACTAGCAGCAGCAGTACATTGAGGCAGTAACTACCACCAACAGTACACTGAGGCAGTAACTACCACCAACAGTACACTGAGGCAGTAACTACCACCAACAGTACACTGAGGCAGTAACCACCAGCAACAGTACACTGAGGCAGTAACTAGCAGCAGCAGTACACTGAGGCAGTAACTACCACCAACAGTACACTGAGGCAGTAACTACCACCAACAGTACACTGAGGCAGTAACTACCACCAACAGTACACTGAGGCAGTAACTAGCAGCAGCAGTACACTGAGGCAGTAACTACCACCAGCAGCAGTACACTGAGGCAGTAACTAGCACCAGCAGCAGTACACTGAGGCAGTAACTAACACCACCAGTACACTGAGGCAGTAACTACCACCAACAGTACACTGAGACAGTAACTACCACCACCAGTACACTGAGGCAGTAACTAGCACCAACAGTACACTGAGACAGTAACTACCACCACCAGTACACTGAGGCAGTAACTAGCAGCAGCAGTACACTGAGGCAGTAACTAGCACCAACACTACACTGAGGCAGTAACTACCACCAAGCACTACACTGAGACAGTAACTACCACCAGCAGCAGTACACTGAGGCAGTAACTACCACCAACACTACAGTGAGGCAGTAACTACCACCAACAGTACACTGAGGCAGTAACTACCACCAAACACTACACTGAGGCAGTAACTACCACCAAACACTACACTGAGGCAGTAACTACCACCAACACTACACTGAGGCAGTAACCACCAGCAACAGTACACTGAGGCAGTAACCACCAGCAGCAGTACACTGAGGCAGTAACTACCACCAAACACTACACTGAGGCAGTAACCACCAGCAGCAGTACACTGAGGCAGTAACTACCACCAAACACTACACTGAGGCAGTAACTACCACCAACACTACACTGAGGCAGTAACCACCAGCAACAGTACACTGAGGCAGTAACCACCAGCAGCAGTACACTGAGGCAGTAACTACCACCAAACACTACACTGAGGCAGTAACTAGCATGTCAGACAGCTTGTGGTATCCACGACAGGTTCCTGAAGAACGTGAGCATCGACTACAGGTCAGAGCTGCCGACGCCCAACCTGGAGTTCAACGCCGACGGCACCAGACGAGCCGTTCACCTCAAGATCATGAACCTCAGACCTGACCTCTCGCGCAAGCTGACCTGGGAGGAGGTACGTCTCTCACCTCTCACATTTATATTGATTTAATTTACATTAATTTATATGGTAATTTAAATTTTACGTTAATTTATATTCTTCATAGCAAACTGTTTAAAGTGGACTGTTTGAGTTAATAATTCCCACAAATTGCTTCGTTACACATTTGAGGGAGTTTATGGTTTATAACTATATGAGAGTTATTGATTGGTTTGTTGTTGTTTAAGATTCGCTACCTGGAACCAAAAGTTCCAAGTAGCACGGGCTATGGTGAGCCCGTAATTGATTAGTAGACATTTACTACAGTATTACACTTCATGTATTAGTAATTAAATAGGGAGGCCTTATCTTGGCCTAGACAACCAGTTATGAATATGGTTAATGTGACGGTAAACGTTGGTGGTCGTGGAGTCTAATGTCACTCACAAAATATTAAAAAAAAAAAAAAAAAAAAAAAAAAAAAGTGGTGTCTTCACAGTGTGATAAACTTTATATAAAGCAGAGGGAAAAAACATTTAAAAAATACTTTATTTTGATAAAAATATGAATTTAAACAAATTACAAAAAATATCGAGGCTTGGCTTTAATACAAAGTGTACAAAACTAACAAGATGAATAATCGAATTTACGTTACGTTAAGGTGCAAAATAAAATATGGTGCGGAATACGATGAGCCAGTCTGACTAAATCTGTTACCACACCGAGACGTGTCAACAGGTCTACTCAGTTGAGCACTCAGGAGTAATGTGAATCTTGGAGAGCTTGGTAGCCCTATTTATACAGAATATCGGCCGGCCAGAGGGCGCTGATGGCTTCTTTAACTAGGAACCGGCTCACTTCAACTGCTTGTTTGAGAGGTCGTGGCCTCCCAGCGACCCAGGTGCGAGGTGGGGTGACGGGCCGTGGTGCAGGAGGGAGACTGGTAGTACTGTCTAGACGTCTGGAAGAAGTAGTTGCTGTTCTTGGCTGCAGTTCTTGATTACATAGACGTGAATGAGTAGAATAGTCGATAATGGAGTAGGCCGAATCTCTTCCGTGGCAAAAAAAAAAAAAAGAGATTTTACCGTGACAATGATCACATCAAATCATCCTGGTGGTTGAGGCTGGCGTCAACACGTGTACTGGTGTACTACTAGGTAACTACTGTTAATTGTTCTTCCTCTTTAATTGCACCTGTTGGCTGACTTGCTTTCCGACATCTCTCTCTCTAAACTTTCCTGGTGCAAAGCCGAGCATGTAATCTTGCATGGCAATGTTGCATATTGCCTCGGAATATTCCCCGGGTGTCAGCTGGATTCTTGCCTTGAAATATGCCACAAACTCCTATGTGAGGCGACAAGTTGACTGGTTTAGAGACAGAGGTTTTGGGTAAGTGAAGCGGGTGCATAACTGGCACTATTGAGACAGTTTAACTGGTTTAAAAAACCAACCCGTCCCCCCCCCACCCCACTAGTGAAGCGTCGCATTCTGACGTATTCTCCACCTGAGGCCAAAAATCGTCCACACGGGCTCACCATAGCCCGTGCTACTTGCCCCGCTCCTGTGCCGGGTAAGTCCACTACGGGCTCACCATAGCCCGTGCTACTTGCCCCGCTCCTGTGCCGGGTAAGTCCACTACGGGCTCACCATAGCCCGTGCTACTTGCCCCGCTCCTGTGCCGGGCAAGTCCACTACGGGCTCACCATAGCCCGTGCTACTTGCCCCGCTCCTGTGCCAGGTAATTTACGGGCTCACCATAGCCCGTGCTACTTGCAACTTGTTCCGAGTTGCGACGGTGTGGAGAGCCCACAGACCCGTCGCCAGGCCATCCACGGAGGGTTCATTAGTCAGTCTCTTCCGTGTTTTGCAGTTTATGTGAAATTTTTGCATTCAGGTGAATTAATGGTTTTCCCCGAGCTGAAAAAATGTTGGTGGTGGTAATGGAATGTTGATCACTGGTGGGTCAGGCACGAGAGTCACGTCCACCGCGTCACAGGAGGGAGGGGGAGGGAAGTATCAGGGGGAAAGTGCCAAGTCAATACGACTATATAGCACTGGGAAGGGGTCAGGAATAACACGGGGGAGGGGGGGGGAGAAGGAATGGCGCCCAATCACTTGGATGATCGGGGATTGAACGCCGACCTGCATGACGGGAGACCGTCGCTCTACCGTCCACCCCAAGTGGTTGGACCAGACGACAGGAACGGAAGTGAGTTGAAATATTCGTGGAAAGTTTAATTGTCCGTGAACAATTAACATGACCTATATAATGATTGAACTTAAAGTTCAGAGGCCTATATATATGGCGCCCTGTAAGTTACTACTTACCATTGATATATATCCCACCAAACACACACCGAAACTACGACGTTGGTACAACGTTGGAACAAGTTTTAACACCTAACCAGTTATAACAACCAATATAGCAAGTTGTAACAACGTTCTAATACGTCATAAACACGTTAAGCCAAGATGTAACAACTTTATTACAAGTTGTTACAAGCGGAAAATAGAGACAGTTTCGGTTTGTGTTTCCAGGGATTCTGTTATAGGTGAAACACTACAACACTTTACACGGGGTGATGTTACTGGCCAATCACAGGCGGCCTCCCTGATGCGTGACGTCATAGGCCTCCGTCCATTGGTTCCACAAGATCACGTGATCTCTGAAGCGTTATCGATGACGTCAGAGCTCTATACAGTGTCAATTAGCTTGGGCAAAAAAGATATTTCTATACAAATATAACCTGATATCTCTCTCACATTACTCTGGTTATATATAGCATTATATAAATTATGTGGGGTGAGTGTGGCTCTCAAGGAAGGTTCAGTAGGTCCTAGACACATTAGGTCGTAGAGGTCATAGTTAAATGGGATCTTTGTGGGATGAGTGTGGCTCTCAAGGAAGGTTCAGTAGGTCCAAGACACATTAGGTCGTAGAGGTCATAGCTGAATGGGATCTTTGTGGGATGAGTGTGGCTCTCAAGGAAGGTTCAGTAGGTCCAAGACACATTAGGTCGTAGAGGTCATAGCTGAATGGGATCTTTGTGGGATGAGTGTGGCTCTCAGGGAAGGTTCAGTAGGTCCAAGAAACATTAGGTCGTAGAGGTCATAGCTGAATGGGATCTTTATGGGATGAGTGTGGCTCTCAAGGAAGGTTCAGTAGGTCCAAGACACATTAGGTCGTAGAGGTCATAGCTGAATGGGATCTTTGTGGGATGAGTGTGGCTCTCAAGGAAGGTTCAGTAGGTCCAAGACACATTAGGTCGTAGAGGTCATAGCTGAATGGGATCTTTGTGGGATGAGTGTGGCTCTCAAGGAAGGTTCAGTAGGTCCTAGACACATTAGGTCGTAGAGGTCATAGCTGAATGGGATCTTTGTGGGATGAGTGTGGCTTTCAAGGAAGGTTCAGTAGGTCCAAGACACATTAGGTCGTAGAGGTCATAGCTGAATGGGATCTTTGTGGGATGAGTGTGGCTCTCAAGGAAGGTTCAGTAGGTCCAAGACACATTAGGTCGTAGAGGTCATAGCTGAATGGGATCTTTGTGGGATGAGTGTGGCTCTCAAGGAAGGTTCAGTAGGTCCTAGACACATTAGGTCGTAGAGGTCATAGCTGAATGGGATCTTTGTGGGATGAGTGTGGCTTTCAAGGAAGGTTCAGTAGGTCCAAGACACATTAGGTCGTAGAGGTCATAGCTGAATGGGATCTTTGTGGGATGAGTGTGGCTCTCAAGGAAGGTTCAGTAGGTCCAAGACACATTAGGTCGTAGAGGTCATAGCTGAATGGGATCTTTGTGGGATGAATGTGGCTCTCAAGGAAGGTTCAGTAGGTCCAAGACACATTAGGTCGTAGAGGTCATAGTTGAATGGGATCTTTGTGGGATGAGTGTGGCTCTCAAGGAAGGTTCAGTAGGTCCTAGACACATTAGGTCGTAGAGGTCATAGCTGAATGGGATCTTTGTGGGATGTAGTGTCGCGAGAGATGGTAAGATTCAGTGTTGTGTCTTTCTGTCCAGTGGATACCAGATGCTTGGGGGTTAACCTCACCCACCTTTCCAAGACAACACATTGGGGGGTATGTGAATATCATAGGCCAGTCGTGGTCGGCCCCAGTGCCACCTATTAAGAAATATTGACACCTATAACGACCCCCCCTCCTCTTCCTCGTGCGATTTACGTGAAGTATGAAATCAGGAATTTATTTTTTGTAGAATTTTTAGTAGTTTTTGAGTCATTCGCAATATTTAATTTTATAAGACAGTGAAGGAAGAATTAGGTTGTTAGGGAGAGTGGAGGAGAAAGGTGGAGAGAGTGGAAATGGGGGAGAAGTTAATGAAGATACCTGATCAACCAGGCTGTGACTCATACGTCAGGCTGCGAGCAGCCGCGTCCAACAGCCTGGTTGATCAGTCCAGCAACCAGGAGGCCTGGTCGACGACCGGGCCGCGGGGACGCTAAGCCCCGAAGCATCTCAAGGTAACCTCAAGGTAGGTAGGGAGAGAGAGAGAGAGAGAGAGAGAGAGAGAGAGAGAGAGAGAGAGAGAGAGAGAGAGAGAGAGAGAGAGAGAGAGAGAGAGAGAGAGAGAGAGAGAGAGAGAGAGAGAGAGAGAGAGAGAGAGAGAGAGAGAGAGAGAGAGAGAGAGAGAGAGAGAGAGAGAGAGAGAGAGAGAGAGAGAGAGAGAGAGAGAGAGAGACCTGAACACTGCCGGAACCGCATCTAGTTTTAATACAGTTTTAAAACAATTGCGATAATTGGCGATTTCAAACTTGTAGATGGAATTATTCGAAAAGAAATTTGTTTCAAAAATTATCCCAGGAATCATTAAACGGTTTAGATATGTTGATGATATCTTGTGTATATGGCTTACAGATGTACATTCAGACGAAATTTGTAGTTAAACTTAATAATAAAAAATAATATAAGTTAATAAACTTAATAATCTTAATTAATAAGTCAATATTAATGACTTAATATAGTCACCTCTATCAAATTTATTATTGAAACTGAAATAGATAAATATTTGCCATTCTTAAATATACTTATTCACAGGCAAGATTTTTCACAAAAGTTTAGTGTTTAGAGAAAGTCAACGAATAATTTATCTTATCTTCAATATTTCTCAGGACTAAGATACAATGTGAAACAATAATTTTGTTCTCTGTGTAGCCAAGAGCTCTTCGGGTTGCTACTCCAGAACTCTTAGATGAAGAGTTTAAGAATATTGACTCTATTGGTCTCAAGTTTTGTTATCCACCGAGTTTTTTGGAAGTTTGCCGTAGCAAAGCACGTCGTACATATTATAATAATATATATAGTGAGAAAATTCGCCCAAAGAATGTGTTATGCTTACCATATTTTTCTGGGTTTGAAAATATTGTCAAGGCCTTGACAATACACCTTGACAATACACCTTGACAATACACCTTAACAATACACCTTAACAATACACAAAAAGTATAAACGTTTTTATATACACGTAATGTTTAATTACGAAAATACTGTTGGTAAACTATTAGTTAGAAACAACCCTCGTTGTGATAATTGTGTCATTTATATAATACCTTGTAAACACTGTAATAGGTTCTATATTGGGCAAACATCTAAAGACTTGAAATGTAGAATTTCGTAATATACTCTGTAAGTCATGGCCAATTGTCTAATGCTTTGTTTGTTCATTTGTCAGAAAATTTTCACCAAATTGATTGGGAGATGACTTCTTCAATAACGAATTGTAAAAGTACTTTCAATAGGAACATTATTGAATCTGCTTTAATACAGATTACAAAATCATGTAATTTGAACATTAACAGTGGTGAGTATAATTTAGATCCATTTTTGATTGATCAGTTAAAGGGCGATTCGAGTAGGATCATTGATACACATTTATCTCGCTAATACCTTATTAATATCCACTATCTCATTAATTCCATATTAATATCCACTATCTCATTAAAGACATTAGAACATAAGATTAAAGGTAACTGCAAAAAGCCTATTGGCCCATACGATGCAGCTCCTATTTTATATTTATAAACATTGAATCCCATTCATATATGTCATTGTATCTCACTTCACCTCTTTCCTGCCTATATATCCATCCTACTGATCTGTAAGTCCATCCTCCTGAAGATGTATAATTAAATACGAAAGTACTTAAGGAAATTCCTACTTCAGTCCTTTCTTCGTGGTATATATATATATATATATATATATATATATATATATATATATATATATATATATATATATATATATATATATACACACAGCGAGTGAGACCCCCAGGGGTGAAAATCAATAAATTCTCAGCAGTAGCTAATGCAAGTCTGAGGACTGCACTCTACCAGCAACGCTGCTCAATATTACCCAACAACACACAATTATATGTAAATTATATATATATATATATATATATATATATATATATATATATATATATTGTGATAGGAAAGTGTTGGAGTATAGATGTTCGGCAGTCCTCCAACGGCAGGTGTCAATGCCTGGTCACACTTACAAAAAAAAGATAGACTGCTTGCCTGTTGTCTGTGGTAAGTTAGAGGGAGGAACACGTAAAACACAAAGTATGAACAGTGAAACTTTAATATATTTACTTTAAACATAAATGAAAATAAAGACAAATCTCTGGGAAATGAATAGTGCAATTAAATAACAAAGATATATGCAAAATCAATGCGAGACAAAAGTAAATGGTAAAATGGTGCCGAGAATATTGGCTATGGCTGAGACCTCCCTTAGTATACAAAAGCCAGTGAGCTTAGTATGCCAGAGAGAGATGTCAACTCTTAGAGCACAAAGAATATTCTGAAGTTGATGGCTGGTCCAGGCTCAGACGTTGACTCAGGTACATGGCGCTGAGGTGCAGTGTGCAGGTGTGCGGTCGGCGAGTCACCAATCAGGAGCAGGCAGGCTGGGAGGGGTAGTTGGCTGGTTGACGACGCGCCGGCGTGGAGGGTGTGTGGAGTAGGGGGGTTTAGGGTACGTTTTGCCTCCTGGTCAAAGCGTTTTGTGCTTCCGGTTGACGTATCTTGAATGTAGCATCTTATACTTGTTAACTGGACGTAACTTTAGGTAGGGAAGAGCAGGCTCAATCTCTCTTGAAAGAGATTATCCTCACAATATATATATATATATATATATATATATATATATATATATATATATATATATATATATATATATATATATATATATAATCTAATATATGTCGTACCTAGTAGCCAGAATGCACTTCTCAGCCTACAATGCAAGGCCCGATTTGCCTAATAAGCCAAGTTTTCATGAATAATTGTTTTTCGACTACCTAACCTAACCTAACTTTTTCGGCTACCTAACCTAACCTAACCTATAAAGATAGGTTAGGTTAGGTAGGGTTGGTTAGGTTCGGTCATATATCTACGTTAATTTGAACTCCAATAAAAAAAATTGACCTCATACATAATGAAATGGGAAGCTTTATTATTTCATAAGAAAAAAATTATGGAAAATATATTAATTCAGGAAAACTTGGCTTATTAGGCAAATCGGGCCATGCATAGTAGGCTGAGAAGTGCGTTCTGGCTACTAGGTACGACATTATATATATATACATATATATATATATATATATATATATATATATATATATATATATATATATATATATATATAATATATATATATATATATATATATATATATATATATATATATATATATATATGACTGAAAACTCACACCCCAGAAGTAACTCGAACCCATACTCCCAGGAGCAACGCAACTGGTAACTACAGGACGCCTTAATCCTCTTGACCCAAGATTACCATCCGAGTGCCGGCGGGGAAGTGGTTCAAATAGCTTCGGCTATCACTTCCTTATGTCCGGTAGTGATGGTCAAGCGGATTAAGGCGTCCTGTAGTTACCAGTTGCGTTGCTCCTGGGAGTATGGGTTCGAGTCTCTTCTGGGGTGTGAGTTTTCAGTCGCATATAGTCCTGGGGACCATTCAGGCTTGTTCGCATATATATATATATATATATATATATATATATATATATATATATATATATATGCCAAATTCCATATACTATGAAAACCTAATAACAGTATTTGGTATAACTTATGTTTCAAGTATAATTCATTATATATACTTTTTTTTAGTTTCCGTTCGCTTTGTCTATCACTTTGGGAGACGACGGGGCGTATAATTATATCAAACTAATTGACACAATGAATATATGATTAGTGTTGTTCATTGTGTAATATTTGTACATTTACATAATCTATGTAATTGGTAATATATAGTTTGTTTGAATTATTTGCATTTTGTATAAGTTTTTGTTGCATCCTTTGGTCATAATTGTAATTTTGAATATTGTTGACGTAGAATATTATAATATCTTACTTGGGTTTATGTGAATTTATGATAATTTATGTAAACTGAGTTTAGTTTACTGGTGTTGACGCCACTGTCCTCAGTGTGAGCCCTGAGGGAAGGTGTCAACGGTGTCTACCAGTGTGACACCTCCCACAGACCAGTGTGACACCTCCCACAGACCAGTGTGACACCTCCCACACCTTCCACAGACCAGTGTGACACCTCCCACAGACCAGTGTGACACCTCCCACACCTTCCACAGACCAGTGTCACACCTCCCACACCTTCCACAGACCAGTGTCACACCTCCCACACCTCCCACAGACCAGTGTGACACCTCCTACAGACCAGTGTGACACCTCCCACACCTTCCACAGACCAGTGTGACACCTCCCACACCTCCCACAGACCAGTGTGACACCTCCCACAGACCAGTGTCACACCTCCCACACCTCCCACAGACCAGTGTGACACCTCCCACACCTCCCACAGACCAGTGTGACACCTCCCACAGACCAGTGTGACACCTCCCACAGACCAGTGTGACACCTCCCACAGACCAGTGTGACACCTCCCACAGACCAGTGTCACACCTCCCACAGACCAGTGTCACACCTCCCACAGACCAGTGTGACACCTCCCACAGACCAGTGTCACACCCACAGACCAGTGTGACACCCACAGACCAGTGTCACACCTCCCACAGACCAGTGTGACACCTCCCACAGACCAGTGTGACACCTCCCACAGACCAGTGTGACACCTCCCACAGACCAGTGTGACACCTCCCACAGACCAGTGTGACACCTCCCACAGACCAGTGTGACACCTCCCACAGACCAGTGTGACACCTCCCACAGACCAGTGTGACACCCACAGACCAGTGTGACACCTCCCACAGACCAGTGTGACACCCACAGACCAGTGTAACACCCACAGACCAGTGTGACACCCGACAATGATCCCGTAAGTGACTCCTAACAGCACACTCCCCTTCCCCAAGCTGCCACAGTGGCACTAACAGGGTGGTGGCACTAACAGACTGGTGGCACTAACAGACTGGTGGCACTCCCACAGATAGGCGTGTGGCACTCGGGCAAGGACGGGGGCCTGGAGGTGAAGGACATAGTGTGGCCCGGGTACTCCCACGTCCCGCCCAATGGTATACCAGAGAAGTTCCACCTCAAGGTAAGTCACCCCTTCACGTCCAGTTTACACGTAGAAAACGAGGTTAAAATTAATATTTTGGTTAAAATTATTGGTTTACTTAATGTTTGGGTTTACTATTGTGTGTGTATGAGAGGGTATAGGCAGCGAGTGAGTGTGTGTGTGTGAGAGGTTGGTTAGGTCAGGTCATGAGAGGTCAGGTCAGGTCAGGTCAGGTCATGACAGGTCAGGTCAGGTCATGACAGGTCATGGGAGACCAGGTTAGGTCACGAGAGGTCATGACAGGTCAGGTCAGGTCAGGTCAGGTCAGGTCATGACAGGTCAGGTCGGCTCAGGTCAGATCATGTCAGGTCAGGTCAGGTCACGAGGCTGCGATGTTTGACACTGTATCAGTGTCGACACATTAATTACCATTTACATGGCAACAATTACGAGATTTGAGGTCAAAGGTCAGGTTACATGTGACATTGTAGATGGAACACAATTTAGAAATAACTGGATGCCCATTACACAATTGTTATCAACTGCTATCTTGTCAAATATTGCAAAAAGCCTTAATTGACAGCCGGGATAACTTCTGTTGCAAGAATGTAAACTATACGATATATTTGTCTAGGAAATCAGTTGCAGTCATTGCAACCTATTTTAGTTGTACCCTGCCACATGATGTTGTACCGTGCCACATGATGATGTACCGTGCCACATGATGTTGTACCGTGCCACATGATGTTGTACCGTGCAACATGATGTTGTACCGTGCCACATGATGTTGTACCGTGCAACATGATGTTGTACCGTGCCACATGATGTTGTACCGTGCAACATGATGTTGTACCCTGCAACATGACGTTGTACCCTGCCACATGATGTTGTACCCTGCAACATGACGTTGTACCCTGCCACATGATGTTGTACCCTGCCACATGATGTTGTACCCTGCAACATGACGTTGTACCCTGCAACATGACGTTGTACCCTGCAACATGACGTTGTACCCTGCAACATGACGTTGTACCCTGCAACATGACGTTGTACCCTGCAACATGACGTTGTACCCTGCAACATGACGTTGTACCCTGCAACATGACGTTGTACCCTGCAACATGACGTTGTACCCTGCCACATGATGTTGTACCCTGCAACATGATGTTGTACCCTGCAACATGACGTTGTACCCTGCAACATGACGTTGTACCCTGCAACATGATGTTGTACCCAGCAACATGACGTTGTACCCAGCAACATGACGTTGTACCCTGCAACATGATGTTGTACCCTGCAACATGACGTTGTACCCAGCAACATGACGTTGTACCCTGCAACATGACGTTGTACCCAGCAACATGACGTTGTACCCTGCAACATGACGTTGTACCCTGCAACATGACGTTGTACCCTGCAACATGACGTTTTACCCTGCCACATGACGTTGTACCCTGCAACATGATGTTGTACCACTGCAACATGACGTTGTACCCTGCAACATGATGTTGTACCACTGCAACATGACGTTGTACCCTGCAACATGACGTTGTACCACTGCAACATGACGTTGTACCCTGCAACATGACGTTGTACCCTGCCACATGACGTTGTACCCTGCAACATGACGTTGTACCCTGCAACATGACGTTGTACCCTGCAACATGATGTTGTACCCCAGCAACATGACGTTGTACCCTGCAACATGACGTTGTACCCTGCAACATGACGTTGTACCCAGCAACATGACGTTGTACCCTGCAACATGACGTTGTACCCTGCAACATGACGTTGTACCCAGCAACATGACGTTGTACCCTGCAACATGACGTTGTACCCTGCAACATGACGTTGTACCCAGCAACATGATGTTGTACCCTGCAACATGATGTTGTACCCAGCAACATGACGTTGTACCCCAGCAACATGACGTTGTACCCTGCAACATGACGTTGTACCCAGCAACATGATGTTGTACCCTGCAACATGATGTTGTACCCTGCAACATGACGTTGTACCCAGCAACATGACGTTGTACCCTGCAACATGATGTTGTACCCTGCAACATGACGTTGTACCCTGCAACATGACGTTCTACCCTGCAACATGATGTTGTACCCTGCAACATGATGTTGTACCCTGCAACATGATGTTGTACCCTGCAACATGATGTTGTACCCTGCAACATGATGTTGTACCCTGCAACATGAAGTTGTACCCAGCAACATGACGTTGTACCCTGCAACATGACGTTGTACCCTGCAACATGGCGTTGTACCCAGCAACATGACGTTGTACCCTGCAACATGACGTTGTACCCTGCAACATGACGTTGTACCCTGCAACATGACGTTGTACCCTGCAACATGACGTTGTACCCTGCAACATGACGTTGTACCCAGCAACATGACGTTGTACCCTGCAACATGACGTTGTACCCTGCAACATGACGTTGTACCCAGCAACATGATGTATAATGTTGCAGGGTACAGCTAACAGCAGACACAGTGGACCCAGCAGACACAGGGGACCCAGCAGACACAGTGGACCCAGCAGACACAAGGGACCCAGCAGACACAGGGGACCCAGCAGACACAGGGGTCCAGCAGACACAAGGGACCCAGCAGACACAGGGGACCCAGCAGACACAGGGGTCCAGCAGACACAAGGGCCCCTAGCAGACACAGGGCCCCCAACAGACACAGGGGCCCCAGCAGACACAAGGGCCCCCAGCAGACACAGGGGCCCCAGCAGACACTGGGGGTCCAGCAGACACAGGGGACCCAGCAGACACAAGGGCCCCCAGCAGACACAGGGGCCTCAGCAGACACTGGGGGTCCAGCAGACACAGGGGGCCCAGCTGACACAGGGCCCCAGCAGACACAGGGGCCCCAGCAGACACAGGGCCCCAGCAGACACAGGGGCCCTAGCAGACACGGGGGCCCAGCAGACACAGGGGCCCAACAGACACGGGCCCAACAGACACGGGCCCAGCAGACACAGGGGGCCCAGCAGACACAGGGGGCCCAGCAGACACAGGGGGCCCAGCAGACACAGGGGGCCCAGCAGACACAGGGGGCCCAGCAGACACAGGGGGCCCAGCAGACACAAGGGGCCCAGCAGACACAGGGGGCCCAGCAGACACAGGGGGCCCAGCAGACACAGGGGGCCCAGCAGACACAGGGGGCCCAGCAGACACAGGGGGCCCAGCAGACACAGGGGGCCCAGCAGACACAGGGGGCTCAGCAGACACAAGGGCCCCCAGCAGACACAGGGGCCCCCAGCAGACACAGGGGCCCCCAGCAGACACAGGGGCCCCCAGCAGACACAAGGGCCCCCTGCAGACACAAGGGCCCCCAGCAGACACAGGGGCCCCCAGCAGACACACGGGCCCCCAGCAGACACAGGGGCCCCCAGCAGACACAGGGGCCCCCAGCAGACACAGGGGCCCCCATCAGACACAGGGGCCCCCAGCAGACACAGGGGCCCTAGTAGACACAAGGGCCCCCAGCAGACACAGGGGCAACAGAAGACACAAGGGCCCCCAGCAGACACAGGGGCCCCCAGCAGACACAGGGGCCCCCAGCAGACACAGGAGCCCCCAGCAGACACAGGGGCACCCAGCAGACACAGGGGCCCCCAGCAGACACAAGGGGCCCCCAGCATACACAAGGGGCCCCCAGCAGACACAGGGGCCCCCAGCAGACACAGGGGCCCCAGCAGACACAAGGGCCCGTAGCAAACAGGGGCCCCCAGCAGACACAAGGGGCCCCCAGCAGACACAAGGGCCCCCTGCAGACACAAGGGCCCCCAGCAGACACAGGGGCCCCCAGCAGACACAGGGGCCCCCAGCAGACACAGGGGCCCCCAGCAGACACAGGGGCCCCCAGCAGACACAGGGGCCCCCATCAGACACAGGGGCCCCCAGCAGACACAGGGGCCCTAGTAGACACAAGGGCCCCCAGCAGACACAGGGGCAACAGAAGACACAAGGGCCCCCAGCAGACACAGGGGCCCCCAGCAGACACAGGGGCCCCCAGCAGACACAGGAGCCCCCAGCAGACACAGGGGCTCCCAGCAGACACAGGGGCCCCCAGCAGACACAAGGGGCCCCCAGCAGACACAAGGGGCCCCCAGCAGACACAGGGGCCCCCAGCAGACACAGGGGCCCCAGCAGACACAAGGGCCCGTAGCAAACAGGGGCCCCCAGCAGACACAAGGGGCCCCCAGCAGACACAGGGGACCCCAGCAGACACAAGGGGCCCCCAGCAGACACAAGGGGCCCCCAGCAGACACAAGGGGAGGACCGGCTGCGATAGAGACAAAATGTCACCCATGGCAGTAGATCTCTATCTGTCACCAGTAATTAATTCCTGTCCAAGCCTCGGAGACAATCTTGTGTCGTGATAAGTGTAAAGAGGAAACTTGCTTCAATATATTATAAATTAAAGAGGAGAAAACCCGGCAAGTGAACAGAAATGTTTAGGGGGAAATAAGAACAATTATTTTCTGGCAGATTGTGACTGCAATTTTGCAGCATTTATTGAGTTAATTTTGGTGGTTGATGTATTTATAATCTACACATTTTTGGACACATGTTGACTGTTGCTTGAGACACAGTGTGTGTGTCGGAGCCGAGCGGACAGCATGCTGGACTTGTAATCCTGTGGTCCTGGGTTCGATCCCAGGCGCCGGCGAGAAACAATAGGCAGAGTTTCTTTCATCCTATGCCCCTGTTACCTAGCAGTAAAATAGGTACCTGGGTGTTACTCAGCTGTCACGGGCTGCTTCCTGGAGGTGGAGGCCTGGTCGAGGACCGGGCCGCGGGGACACTAAAAGCCCCGAAATCATCTCAAGATAACCTCAAGATAGTGACGACACAGCCAGCGATCGCCGTCTTCGCTATGACTATGTATGTGTGTATATATGTGTATGTAGGTATAGCGAAGATGTGGGTATTTGGATTACAGTTATAGCGAAGATCTGGTGCCCAACCACTAGTGGACGGTCGGGGATTGAACGCAGACCTGCATGAAGCGATATTGTCGCTCTAATAGAAACTGAAAAACTGCTTTTATGATGAAATTGAATTGGTGAATAATTTAAGTTGGTGATCAACGTCATTCAGATTTATTCATTCCGTCAATTTATAGTCAACTGTCTGTAATTGTTAATTATTTTCTGTGAACTACGAGACAGTGCAGTGGTAGCACACCCGCCCCCGAGCCTCGCCGGTGATTTGGTCAGGGTTCGAGCCCTGGCTGGGGAAGATCGACTAGGCGGCCATCTTTTTGTTTGCCTCTGTTCACCCAGCAATAATTGGGTACCTGGTTGTTAGGCAATTAGCGGATGATGTTCCAGGGTAAACTATAGTGAGCAAGACTTACCATGAGCCAAGGCAAGGGAAAGATCTCAACTTAGGGCCAGATTCACGAAGCAGTTACGCCAGCACTTACGAACGTGAACATCTTTCCTCAATATTTGACGGCTTTGGTTACATTTATTAAACAGTTTACGAGCATGAAAACTTGCCAATCAACTGTTGTTATTGTTATAAACAGCCTCCTGGTGCTTCGGAGCTCATTAACTGTTTAATAATTGGAAACAAAGCCGCCAAAGATTGAGAAAAGATGTACAAGTTCGTAAGTGCTTGCGTAACTGTTTCGTGAATCTGGCCCCTGCACATTAACAAGTTAATATTGAAGAGAAAACAAAGGACTCACAAGGACTCTGACTCCTCGTGACTCTGGGAGTCACAAGGACGCTAGTTCGAATCCCTCACAGTACCCAGACTAAATATTTCATTGCTATAACATGCCACTGTGCTTTTCTATTTTAAATTGCGAGTTGACTACAGGGAATGATGTTGTTGTGTGACAGATCACCTTCATGGAGGAGCCCCCCTTCATCAACATGGACCCGCCCCACCCAGTGACTGGCAAGTGTACTGCTAACAAGGGTGTCCACTGTAGGATAGCCTCGGACGACATGATGCAAGGGTGAGTCCACTCTCTCTTGTTGTCTGTCCCACTCTGGCCCCTCCCTGCTCTTGTCTGCCCCACTCTGGCCCCTCCCTGCTCTTGTCTGCCCCACTCTGGTCCCTCACTGCTCTTGTCTGCCCCACTCTGGCCCCTCCCTGCTCTTGTCTGCCCCACTCTGGTCCCTCACTGCTCTTGTCTGCCCCACTCTGGCCCCTCACTGCTCTTGTCTGCCCCACTCTGGCCCCTCCCTGCTCTTGTCTGCCCCACTCTGGCCCCTCCCTGCTCTTGTCTGCCCCACTCTGGCCCCTCACTGCTCTTGTCTGCCCCACTCTAGCCCCTCACTGCTCTTGTCTGCCCCACTCTGGCCCCTCACTGCTCTTGTCTGCCCCACTCTGGCCCCTCACTGCTCTTGTCTGCCCCACTCTGGCCCCTCCCTGCTCTTGTCTGCCACACTCTGGCCCCTCACTGCTCTTGTCTGCCCCACTCTGGCCCCTCCCTGCTCTTGTTGGCTCTTGTCTGCCCCACTCTGGTCCCTCACTGCTCTTGTTGGCTCTTGTCTGCCCCACTCTGGCCCCTCACTGCTCTTGTCTGCCCCACTCTGGCCCCTCACTGCTCTTGTCTGCCCCACTCTGGCCCCTCACTGCTCTTGTTGGCTCTTGTCTGCCCCACTCTGGCCCCTCACTGCTCTTGTTGGCTCTTGTCTGCCCCACTCTGGCCCCTCCCTGCTCTTGTCTGCCCCACTCTGGCCCCTCCCTGCTCTTGTCTGCCCCACTCTGGCCCCTCCCTGCTCTTGTCTGCCCCACTCTGGCCCCTCCCTGCTCTTGTCTGCCCCACTCTGGCCCCTCACTGCTCTTGTCTGCCCCACTCTGGTCCCTCACTGCTCTTGTCTGCCCCACTCTGGCCCCTCACTGCTCTTGTCTGCCCCACTCTGGCCCCTCCCTGCTCTTGTCTGCCCCACTCTGGCCCCTCACTGCTCTTGTCTGCCCCACTCTGGCCCCTCACTGCTCTTGTCTGCCACACTCTGGCCCCTCACTGCTCTTGTCTGCCCCACTCTGGCCCCTCCCTGCTCTTGTTGGCTCTTGTCTGCCCCACTCTGGTCCCTCACTGCTCTTGTTGGCTCTTGTCAGCCCCACTCTGGCCCCTCACTGCTCTTGTCTGCCCCACTCTGGCCCCTCACTGCTCTTGTCTGCCCCACTCTGGCCCCTCACTGCTCTTGTTGGCTCTTGTCTGCCCCACTCTGGCCCCTCACTGCTCTTGTTGGCTCTTGTCTGCCCCACTCTGGCCCCTCACTGCTCTTGTCTGCCCCACTCTGGCCCCTCACTGCTCTTGTCTGCCCCACTCTGGCCCCTCACTGCTCTTGTTGGCTCTTGTCTGCCCCACTCTGGTCCCTCACTGCTCTTGTTGGCTCTTGTCTGCCTCACTCTGGCCCCTCACTGCTCTTGTCTGCCCCACTCTGGCCCCTCACTGCTCTTGTCTGCCACACTCTGGCCCCTCACTGCTCTTGTCTGTCCACTCTGGCCCCTCACTGCTCTTGTTGACTCTTGTCTGCCTCACTCTGGCCCCTCACTGCTCTTGTTGGCTCTTGTCTGCCTCACTCTGGCCCCTCACTGCTCTTGCCTGTCCACTCTGGCCCCTCACTGCTCTTGTTGGCTCTTGTCTGCCCCACTCTGGCCCTTCACTGCTCTTGTTGGCTCTTGTCTGCCCCACTCTGGCCCCTCACTGCTCTTGTCTGCCCCACTCTGGCCCCTCACTGCTCTTGTTGGCTCTTGTCTGCCCCACTCTGGCCCCTCACTGCTCTTGTCTGCCCCACTCTGGCCCCTCACTACTCTTGTTGGCTTTTGTCTGCCCCACTCTGGTCCCTCACTGTTCTTGTTGGCTCTTGTCTGCCCCACTCTGGTCCCTCACTGCTCTTGTTGGCTCTTGTCTTCCCCACTCTGGTCCCTCACTGCTCTTGTCTGCCCCACTCTGGCCCCTCACTGCTCTTGTTGACTCTTGTCTGCCCCACTCTGGTCCCTCACTGTTCTTGTTGACTCTTGTCTGCCCCACTCTGGCCCCTCACTGCTCTTGTTGACTCTTGTCTGCCTCACTCTGGCCCCTCACTGCTCTTGTCTGCCCCACTCTGGTCCCTCACTGCTCTTGTTGACTCTTGTCTGCCCCACTCTGGCCCCTCACTGCTCTTGTTTGTCCACTCTGGCCCCTCACTGCTCTTGTCTGCCTCACTCTGGTCCCTCTCTGCTCTTGTTGGCTCTTGTCTGCCCCACTCTGGCCCCTCACTGCTCTTGTTGGCTCTTGTCTGCCCCACTCTGGTCCCTTGGCTCTTGTCTGCCCCACTCTGGCCCCTCACTGCCTCTTGTTGCTCTTGTCTGCCCCACTCTGGCCCCTCACTGCTCTTGTTGCTCTTGTCTGCCCCACTCTGGTCCCTCTCTGCTCTTGTTGGCTCTTGTCTGCCCCACTCTGGCCCCTCACTGCTCTTGTTGACTCTTGTCTGCCCCACTCTGGTCCCTCACTGCTCTTGTTGACTCTTGTCTGCCCCACTCTGGCCCCTCACTGCTCTTGTTGGCTCTTGTCTGCCCCACTCTGGCCCCTCACTGCTCTTGTTGACTCTTGTCTGCCCCACTCTGGCCCCTCACTGCTCTTGTTGACTCTTGTCTGCCCCACTCTGGCCCCTCACTGCTCTTGTCTGCCCCACTCTGGTCCCTCACTGCTCTTGTTGACTCTTGTCTGCCCCACTCTGGCCCCTCCCTGCTCTTGTCTGCCCCACTCTGGCCCCTCACTGCTCTTGTCTGCCCCACTCTGGTCCCTCACTGCTCTTGTTGCTCTTGTCTGCCCCACTCTGGCCCCTCACTGCTCTTGTTGACTCTTGTCTGCCCCACTCTGGTCCCTCACTGCTCTTGTTGCTCTTGTCTGCCCCACTCTGGCCCCTCACTGCTCTTGTTGACTCTTGTCTGCCCCACTCTGGCCCCTCACTGCTCTTGTTGACTCTTGTCTGCCCCACTCTGGCCCCTCACTGCTCTTGTCTGCCCCACTCTGGCCCCTCACTGCTCTTGTTGACTCTTGTCTGCCCCACTCTGGCCCCTCACTGCTCCTGCTCTTGTCTGCCCCACTCTGGCCCCTCACTGCTCTGCTCTTGTCTGCCCCACTCTGGCCCCTCACTGCTCTTGTCTGCCCCACTCTGGCCCCTCACTGCTCTTGTCTGCCCCACTCTGGCCCCTCACTGCTCTTGTCTGCCCCACTCTGGCCCCTCACTGCTCTTGTCTGCCCCACTCTGGCCCCTCACTGCTCTTGTCTGCCCCACTCTGGCCCCTCACTGCTCTTGTCTGCCCCACTCTGGCCCCTCACTGCTCTTGTCTGCCCCACTCTGGCCCCTCCCTGCTCTGCTCTTGTCTGCCCCACTCTGGCCCCTCTGCTCTGCTCTTGCTCTTGTCTGCCCCACTCTGGCCCCTCACTGCTCTTGTCTGCCCCACTCTGGCCCCTCACTGCTCTTGTCTGCCCCACTCTGGCCCCTCACTGCTCTTGTCTGCCCCACTCTGGCCCCTCACTGCTCTTGTCTGCCCCACTCTGGCCCCTCACTGCTCTTGTCTGCCCCACTCTGGCCCCTCACTGCTCTTGTCTGCCCCACTCTGGCCCCTCACTGCTCTTGTCTGCCCCACTCTGGCCCCTCTGCTCTGCTCTTGTCTGCCCCACTCTGGCCCCTCACTGCTCTTGTCTGCCCCACTCTGGCCCCTCACTGCTCTTGTCTGCCCCACTCTGGCCCCTCACTGCTCTTGTCTGCCCCACTCTGGCCCCTCACTGCTCTTGTCTGCCCCACTCTGGCCCCTCCCTGCTCTTGTCTGCCCCACTCTGGCCCCTCACTGCTCTTGTCTGCCCCACTCTGGCCCCTCACTGCTCTTGTCTGCCCCACTCTGGCCCCTCACTGCTCTTGTCTGCCCCACTCTGGCCCCTCACTGCTCTTGTCTGCCCCACTCTGGCCCCTCTGCCCTGCCCCACTCTGGCCCCTCCCTGCTCTTGTTGGCTCTTGTCTGCCCCACTCTGGCCCCTCACTGCTCTTGTCTGCCCCACTCTGGCCCCTCACTGCTCTTGTCTGCCCCACTCTGGCCCCTCACTGCTCTTGTCTGCCCCACTCTGGCCCCTCACTGCTCTTGTCTGCCCCACTCTGGCCCCTCACTGCTCTTGTCTGCCCCACTCTGGCCCCTCCCTGCTCTTGTCTGCCCCACTCTGGCCCCTCACTGCTCTTGTCTGCCCCACTCTGGCCCCTCACTGCTCTTGTCTGCCCCACTCTGGCCCCTCCCTGCTCTTGTCTGCCCCACTCTGGCCCCTCACTGCTCTTGTCTGCCCCACTCTGGCCCCTCACTGCTCTTGTCTGCCCCACTCTGGCCCCTCCCTGCTCTTGTCTGCCCCACTCTGGCCCCTCCCTGCTCTTGTCTGCCCCACTCTGGCCCCTCACTGCTCTTGTTGACTCTTGTCTGCCCCACTCTGGCCCCTCACTGCTCTTGTCTGCCCCACTCTGGCCCCTCCCTGCTCTTGTCTGCCCCACTCTGGCCCCTCACTGCTCTTGTTGACTCTTGTCTGCCCCACTCTGGCCCCTCACTGCTCTTGTTGACTCTTGTCTGCCCCACTCTGGCCCCTCACTGCTCTTCTTGCCTGCACTTATTGCTCTCTGCTCCACCACACACACACTGCTCTTCTCTCCTGTGCTGACTCTCTCTGCGCTCTCCTCTCCCGTCTTAACTACTGAACTACTCTCCCTCTTTAACTACCTCATCTGCTAAATTATTATCTTGATTTACCTCTTCAGACCCCCACATATGTAGGTCTAACCCCCCCCCCACCCCCAGACCCCCCACATATGTGGGTCTAATCATCCCCCCCACAGACCCACACATTTCTGGGGTCTAATTTTCTATCCCAGTCCGCTGATTTTTAATCCAGTTATTTCATGTTTGCCACGTTACGCCCCCCCCCCCCCTGCTTCATTATAGGTCTTTGTGGTCCCCTGGTGATGTGTTCCACCCACTGGTGCGGTCTTTGTGGTCCCCTGGTGATGTGTTCCACCCACTGGTGTGGTCTTTGTGTCCCCTGGTGATGTGTTCCACCCACTGGTGTGGTCTTTGTGGTCCCCTGGTGATGTGTTCCACCCACTGGTGAGGTCTTTGTGGTCCCTGGTGATGTGTTCCACCCACTGGTGTGGTCTTTGTGGTCCCCTGGTGATGTGTTCCACCCACTGGTGTGGTCTTTGTGTCCCCTGGTGATGTGTTCCACCCACTGGTGTGGTCTTTGTGTCCCCTGGTGATGTGTTCCACCCACTGGTGTGGTCTTTGTGGTCCCCTGGTGATGTGTTCCACCCACTGGTGTGGTCTTTGTGATCCCCTGGTGATGTGTTCCACCCACTGGTTTGGTCTTTGTGTCCCCTGGTGATGTGTTCCACCCACTGGTGAGGTCTTTGTGACCCCTGGTGATGTGTTCCACCCACTGGTGAGGTTTTTGTTTCCCCTGGTGATGTGTTCCACCCACTGGTGTGGTCTTTGTGTCCCCTGGTGATGTGTTCCACCCACTGGTGAGGTCTTTGTGGTCCCCTGGTGATGTGTTCCACCCACTGGTGAGGTCTTTGTGGTCCCCTGGTGATGTGTTCCACCCACTGGTGTGGTCTTTGTGGTCCCCTGGTGATGTGTTCCACCCACTGGTGTGGTCTTTGTGGTCCCTGGTGATGTGTTCCACCCACTGGTGAGGTCTTTGTGGTCCCTGGTGATGTGTTCCACCCACTGGTGAGGTCTTTGTGGTCCCCTGGTGATGTGTTCCACCCACTGGTGAGGTCTTTGTGGTCCCCTGGTGATGTGTTCCACCCACTGGTGTGGTCTTTGTGGTCCCCTGGTGATGTGTTCCACCCACTGGTGAGGTCTTTGTGGTCCCTGGTGATGTGTTCCACCCACTGGTGAGGTCTTTGTGGTCCCCTGGTGATGTGTTCCACCCACTGGTGAGGTCTTTGTGGTCCCCTGGTGATGTGTTCCACCCACTGGTGAGGTCTTTGTGGTCCCCTGGTGATGTGTTCCACCCACTGGTGAGGTCTTTGTGGTCCCCTGGTGATGTGTTCCACCCACTGGTGAGGTCTTTGTGGTCCCTGGTGATGTGTTCCACCCACTGGTGAGGTCTTTGTGGTCCCTGGTGATGTGTTCCACCCACTGGTGAGGTCTTTAATATTTAGTAATAATTTATTTTCAATTTCAATCTATTTTCTTTGTTTTCTTTCTGTAAATCTTGTTAATGTTTTTTCCATTTAATGTTTCTAGTTGTATATATATATATATATATATATATATATATATAATATGTTGGGTTTTATCAGGGGCTGTGTTGTGCTTTCTTGTGTGTTTTCTCACCTATTTGTGCTTGCAGCATCGAGCTCTAGCTCTTGGACCCGACTTTTGTATCAGTTGTCTAAGACAATGACTCCTGACCTGAGTCCCTATCATAGCTGGTGTTAACGTTATGACTGGAGTTAGGCTCTACAACCTGCTCCTTTAGGTCAACTATTGACTATCATAGCTGGTGTTAACGTTATGACTGGAGTTAGGCTCTACAACCTGCTCCTTTAGGTCAACCATTGACTATCATAGCTGGTGTTAACGTTATGACTGGAGTTAGGGTCTACAACCTGCTCCTTTAGGTCAACCATTGACTATCATAGCTGGTGTTAAAGTTATGACTGCAGTTAGGCTCTACAACCTGCTCCTTTAGGTCAACCATTGACTCACTTCCCGCACGCTAAAGGTAAACTTTCTAACATCTCTATGACACGTCTGAGTCTCAAGCTTCACCCGTGTCACCCTTGTTGTGTTGATAGTCATTGTAAACATTACCTCTGTTACCACCGTGTCAGTCCCTCCAAGTATTTTACACGTCTGTATCATGTCCCGCCTCTCCCTCCTCCTTTCTACCGTCGTCAGGTTTAGTTCCTTCAGTCTGTCTTCGTACCTCATCCCTCGCAGCTCTGGGACGAGTCTCGTTGCAAACTTCTGCACCTTTTCCAGCTTCCTTATGTGTGTTTTAAGATGGGGTTCCAGGATGGTGCGGCATACTCTAAGACCGGCCTCACATAGGTGGTATACTGTGATCTAAAAGTCTCCTTATTCAAGTTTGTGAAGGATGTTCTGACTTTTGCCAGAGTAAAAGATGTTTCTCCCACGCCCCCAATCACCCCCAATCACCCCCAATCACCCCGCAATCACCACCAATCACCCCCAATCACCCCCACCCCAAAAAAAGAAGAAGAAAGAGCACTGGCAAACACCAATATAAATACAGAGAACAAAATTGAATAAAATATTGCTTACATTCACTTTATCTTTGTGCTTGTAACTACAAAACTATATAAATGTTGTGAAGACGAGAAGTGGAAGATATTATTGCTTACTGACACGAAATCATTAAACAAATTTAAATATAACAGCCTTTCAGCTTTTATTTTTAAATTTGGTCTTCTTCTGAATGACGAGAGAAAGGCTTGTCAGAGCTCTAAAAAAATCCTTAGATGAGCTTAGTGAGCCCTGGGATTATTTCCCCTCACTGTTAGATAAGCTTAGTGAGTCCTGGGATTATTTCCCCTCACTGTTAGATGAGCTTAGTGAGCCCTGGGATTATTTCCCCTCACTGTTAGATGAGCTTAATGAGTCCTGGGATTATTTCCCCTCACTGTTAGATGAGCTTAGTGAGTCCTGGGATTATTTCCCCTCACCGTTAGATGAGCTTAGTGAGTCCTGGGATTATTTCCCCTCACCGTTAGATGAGCTTAGTGAGCCCTGGGATTATTTCCCCTCACCGTTAGATGAGCTTAATGAGCCCTGGGATTATTTCCCCTCACTGTTAGATGAGCTTAGTGAGCCCTGGGATTATTTCCCCTCACCGTTAGATGAGCTTAATGAGCCCTGGGATTATTTCCCCTCACTGTTAGATGAGCTTAGTGAGCCCTGGGATTATTTCCCCTCACCGTTAGATGAGCTTAGTGAGCCCTGGGATTATTTCCCCTCACCGTTAGATGAGCTTAATGAGCCCTGGGATTATTTCCCCTCACTGTTAGATGAGCTTAGTGAGCCCTGGGATTATTTCCCCTCACTGTTAGATGAGCTTAGTGAGTCCTGGGATTATTTCCCCTCACTGTTAGATGAGCTTAGTGAGTCCTAGGATTATTCCCCTCACCGTTAGATGAGTCTAATGAGCCCTGGGATTTATTTCTAGATGCGTTAGATGACAGAGATAAGGGAAAGGATTTAGGGAAAAAGAGACAAGACGGACAGGTGTTGGCAGGGAGAAAGTTTGAGCCAAGATAACAATCCTTAGAATGTCACTTAAGCTAAATTTTTTGTTAACTGTTCTTCTAATGTTAACAGCTCACCATCCTCTTATGTACGCGTCCAGTACTTGAGCTGAGGTGGTTGAGCATAATCTATTGGGACGTGCGGTGGCATGGACCCCATATCTGACCCCAGGTGACCCCAGGTGACCCCAGGTGACCTCAGGTGACCTCAGGTGACCCCAGGTGACCCCAGGTGACCTCAGGTGACCTCAGGTGACCCCAGGTGACCCCGGGTGACCTCAGGTGACCCCAGGTGACCCCAGGTGACCTCAGGTGACCTCAGGTGACCTCAGGTGACCCCAGGTGACCCCAGGTGACCTCAGGTGACCTCAGGTGACCCCAGGTGACCCCAGGTGACCCCAGGTGACCTCAGGTGACCCCAGGTGACCTCAGGTGACCCCAGGTGACCCCAGATCGCTCTCCTCTCCCCAGGGTCAACGTCACTTGGGCCATGCGCAACTCCAGTTACTTCCGGTGCTGTTCCGGCTTCTGTATCGACCTGCTGGTCAAGTTCTCACAAGACCTCGGCTTCTCCTACGACTTCTTCCGCGTCGAGGACGGCATCTGGGGCGCCATTGTGGTGAGTATACGCTGTCTTCCGGTCCCCCTGCCCTCCCTACCCCCCCCCTGCCTCCCCCCCCCCCCGGGCCGTCTTTATTTACGTCACTATCAACGTGCGACGCACATCTTTCAAGTGTTTTTCCTGACAATAGACCAATATGCAAACTTTTGCAACACGCAGCCAGGCAATGTGTTGAAATGGCAAGGATTGAACGACCGAACTAGTAACTGTCGTCTGGACGGTGTTAACTGTCCCACAACTGTACACAACTGTTCCACAACTGTCCACAACTGCCCCACAACTGTCCACAACTGCCCCACAACTGTCCCACAAGTGTCGTTGGCAGCAAATCCTGGTTATATTGACTTTTCGAGGACCTGCTCTCCGGTGTGCCATAGGATGCCGCCCACAACAGTTGCGTGACTCCCAGGTGACTGTTTACTGTTAGGTTAACAGAGGCATCGGGTGGAAAAACGAGCATCGCGTCCGTAAGCGTGTCCATCCCGCTGTGGGACTCGAACCCGGGACCATTCGGTTGTGAAACAACTGTTCACTTACTAAATGTCATTTAGTAGGAAGAACGGCCTATTGACATAGCTCGAGTGCAGGGGGGAGTTGTGTAAAACCCTTAGTTTGTGTCTCGGAGAGGCTGCAGGATCCAAGTAAGTTCAGTAGAACTTCTGGTTTCAACTCTTTTGACCATGTCGTAGCTCAGTCGATTAAGGCAGCGTCTGGGATGTTCTCGGACGTAGGTTCGAATCCTTGTCACGGCTCTTGTGGATTTGTTCTAGCATTCTGAGCTTAGGAAACAATAAGAGTTATCAGATATAAGCTAGAAATGTTAGAACTGGGACGTTTGAAGGGGAGATAGGTCTGGGAGCTAAGATTAGCATACATCTTAAGTCAGATATAATTATATTTATATATATATAGTCAGATATTTAAGTCAGATATCAATCCAAACATGTTTGGACTAATATAAATGTCACACCGGGAATTATTTCTAGAAGTCTTGGCCATTATAGTTATCTAGTATAATTGTCCAGCTTTATCTTGCACGTGTTAGACCCCAACTTAGGTTATACAATTAGCTTTCAGATTTTAAATTCAGTTTTAATCACCCTTCATAAAAGAGTTTTTAATTCACTCGTTATATTAATAACTTATTAAGCTTATGCTTTTCAGTAAATGACCTCTCTATACACACACACACACACACACACACACACACACACACACACACACACACACACACACACACACACAGAAGGAGCAGAAGCACTGTGCCTACCACTCTCCATAGTGTATAACAAATCACTGGCAACAGGGGAACTGCCAGATATTTGGAAAGCAGCTAACGTAGTCCCGATATACAAGAAAGGGGATAGACAGGAGGCACTGAACTACAGGCCAGTGTCCCTAACCTGCATACCATGCAAGCTGATGGAGAAGATTGTGCGAAAAAAACTAGTGGAGCATCTGGAGCGAAGGAACTTTGTAACACAGCATCAACATGGGTTCAGGGATGGAAGGTCCTGCCTCACAGGGTTACTTGAATTCTACGACCAGGCAACAAAAATCAGGCAAGAAAGAGAAGGGTGGGCAGACTGCATATTTTTGGATTGCCAGAAAGCCTTTGATACAGTACCACACAAGAGGCTAGTGAAAAAGCTGTAAATGCAGGCTGGAGTGAAAGGGAAGGTACTCCATTGGATAAGGGAGTACCTAAGCAACAGGAGACAACGAGTTAATGTGAGGGGTGAGGTCTCAGATTGGCGAGACGTTATGAGTGGAGTACCGCAGGGGTCAGTCCTTGGACCTAGACTGTTTCTGATATATGTAAATGATCTCCCAGAGGGTATAGAATCGTTTCTCTCAATGTTTGCCGATGATGCAAAAATTATGAGGAGGATTGAAACAGAGGATGATAGTAGGAGGCTACAAGATGACCTAGACAGACTGAATGAATGGTCCAACAAATGGCTGTTGAAGTTCAACCCGAGTAAATGCAAAGTAATGAAACTAGGCAGTGGAAACTGGAGGCCAGACACAGGATACAGAATAGGAGATGAAGTACTTAATGAAACAGACAGAGAGAAAGATCTAGGAGTTGATATCACACCAAACCTGTCTCCTGAAGCTCACATAAAAAGAATAACGTCTGCGGCATATGCGAGGCTGGCTAACATCAGAACAGCCTTCAGGAACCTGTGTAAGGAATCATTCAGAACATATTATACCACATAGATATTAGAAAGAACTTTTTCAGTGTCAGAGTGGTTGACAAATGGAATGCATTAGGCAGTGATGTGGTGGAGGCTGACTCCATACACAGTTTCAAGTGTAGATATGACAGAGCCCAATAGGCTCAGGAACCTGTATACCTGTTGATTGACAGTTGAGAGGCGGGACCAAAGAGCCAGAGCTCAACCCCCGCAAGCACAACTAGGTGAGCACAACAAATCGACAGCTCTTGTACATTTTTTCGTTACGTTGGGAATATTTTTTTTTGTTTAAATAAATTTGAAAATGTTGAGTAAACTGGTATATGGTAACCCTTGTTATGGCAACCTTAACGACAGTGCCATGTATGACTAGAGTCGGCAAGTGGCCACCATGAGAGTCCTGCAAGATTCGTTAAGAAACGGTCGTGCGAAAGTGCCCTCATCCTAACCTGCCAGAGGACCCAAAACAGAAAACGGGACAGTATGTCACTTTCGCCAGCCGCTTCCATTTTTTAGTACAACAATTTTGGCCTTAGCGTATACGTCAAAATGCGACGTTCTATCAAGAGGAGACGTTGGGTTGATGTGATGACTGAGGAGGGAGACCCAACATGGCCGCCAGGCGCACGTCTCGCCCGTCCTCTGACTAAGGAGGGAGACCCAACATGGCCGCCAGGCGCCCGTCCTCTGAGGAGGGAGACCCAACATGGCCGCCAGGCGCCCGTCCTCTGACTGAGGAGGGAGACCCAACATGGCCGCCAGGCGCCCGTCCTCTGAGGAAGGAGACCCAAGATGGCGGCCAGGCGCCCGGCCCCTGACTCATTACCAGCTCTCACTCACTAAGTCAACTTGTCATTGGCCTGACTGACACAGCAGTTAACTTCCTGCCAAGTGGTTGTTTTGGTCGCCAGGTAACACCGGGTAAAACTATATAACTGCGTTACTGGCAGGCGATTATAAGTGAGATGATCTTGAGGTTATCTTGAGATGATTTCGGGGCTTTAGTGTCCCCGCGGCCCGGTCCTCGACCAGGCCTCCACCCCCAGGAAGCAGCCCGTGACAGCTGACTAACTTCCAGGTACCTATTTACTGCTAGGTAACAGGGGCATTCAGGGTGAAAGAAACTTTGCCCATTTGTTTCTGCCTGGTTCGGGAATCGAACCCGCGCCACAGAATTACGAATCCTGCGCGCTATCCACCAGGCTACGAGGCCCCCCTACCTTACTTCCCCCTGATGGAGTAAGTTGGTACATTGACACTATTTTGTTCTTATCTGAATAAGTAGCCTCGTAGCCTGGTGGATAGCGCGCAGGGTTCGTAATTCTGTGGCGCGGGATCGATTCCCGCACGAGGCAGAAACAAATGGGCAAAGTTTCTTTCACCCTGAATGCCCCTGTTACCTAGCAGTAAATAGGTACCTGGGAGTTAGTCAGCTGTCACGGGCTGCTTCCTGGGGGTGGAGGCCTGGTCGAGGACCGGGCCGCGGGGACACTAAAAAAAGCCCCGAAATCATCTCAAGATAACCTCAAGATAACCTCAAGAATGTTAATTCTGGCATTAAAATAACCTGTGAGTGTGGTATTCCATCCTTCAGAACATTGTAGTGGAGTTATGTGATATGTTTTGTAAGTCTGTCATGAGAAATACTTCGGAGATGCCCAACCACTTCGGCTGGACGGTAGAGCGACTGTCTCGCTTCATGCAGGTCGGCGTTCAATCCCCGACGGTCTACAAGTGGTTGAGCACCATTCCTTTCCACCCGTCCCATCTCAAATCCTTATCCTGACCCCTTCCCAGTGCTATATAGTCGTAATGGCTTGGTGCTTTCTCCTCATACTTCCTTTCCAGCACTGTTCCTCATCTTCACTGTTGTCTCAGCACTGTTGTCTCAGCACTGTTGGACACCTTCACTGTTGTCTCAGCACTGTTGTCTCAGCACTGTTGGACACCTTCACTGTTGTCTCAGCACTGTACCGTTGCGACAGGGGGACAGGAAGCCAGAGTGTATTCATACTCGTTTGGCTTATATCGAATCCCCCCCCCCCCACAAGGTTGCAACCCCCCATTACAAGCTGACTAACTCCTGAGTACCTGTACTTACTGCTGGGTGAACAGGTGCATTAGGATATAGAAATTTGTTTTTTTACTCTCACACAACATCACCCTAGTCAAGCCTCTGTCAAAGGCCTTAAGGAACTAAAAGATAGTTCACCAAAGCTCTTGACCCACTAAAAGATAGTTCACCAAAGGTCTTGACCCACTAAAAGATAGTTCACCAAAGGTCTTGACCCACTAAAAGATAGTTCACCAAAGGTCTTGACCCACTAAAAGATACTTCACCAAAGCTCTTGACCCACTAAAAGATAGTTCACCAAAGGTCTTGACCCACTAAAAGATAGTTCACCAAAGGTCTTGACCCACTAAAAGATACTTCACCAAAGCTCTTGAGGCACTAAAGATATCTCTCTCAGATACATTGCTACAGATAAAGAAAAAAAATGAAGAACTCGTTGAACTCTCAGGTGCAAAAATTCCGAGATTTTAAAAGTTTCAATGGTAAGGCTTGGGAGTAATTTCTCTTGCTCAGCTGAAGAGAAAATAAAGAGAAAAGGGCGGACGATTCTGTTAAGCCTGAGTCAGTATGAAAGCCCTGACAGCCCCTGCAGGAAGCCCTGACAGCTGCAACACAGCCCCCTGCAGGAAGGACAGACAGCCCCAACACAGCCCCCTGCAGGAAGCCCTGACAGCTGCAACACAGCCCCCTGCAGGAAGGACAGACAGCCCCAACACAGC